CACACACACACACACACACACACACACACACACACACACAGGCCAAACCATTACCATTCTGCCATGACCTTTAGGCAGCAGAAGATTAAAAGCAAATTAGTTTCTCAGGCAGCAGAACAAGTTTTTCCCTGCGCTCTCTTTGGCCTCAGCTCTTTAACGGGTTATTAGTCTGAGCTCTCCGGGTTGCCACTTTGTGAAGAGGGTGCACTGTTACACGACCCTTTGGCACACATACTGGACCGGCTCAGGAAGCCTCTCCGCAAAGCAGCAGAGAATAAATGAGTGAATATTTCCAGATCAAGAACTGCAACAGATGATCCTTCGTGTTAGTTTGTCTGTTAGAACTTCTCAGAAGATCCACAGAGCTGTTACTTTCCTGTAAACAACTTTGAACCATTAAAAACAACCAACTAATCGAATCTGTCTAATATTCTGTTAGGTTTTTCAGTTTGAACCAGAGCTCAGGTCAGCTCAGTATCCGGGAAGGAACTCCTCCAGGCTTGTATCAGCTGCAGGTGCAGGTATCAGATCACACCTGGCCCGATGTCACCTCTACCACTCAGGTGGACGTCACAGAGCTGCATCGGGACACCTTGCAGCGAGCCGCATCCATCCGCCTGACAAGTGAGTCTCCAACTCGAGATTTTTTTTTAACCTGTCTCAGAGGAAAAGCTATAATCATGTATCAATATGTAATCAAGTGTTGCACATCCCAGAATGCTTTAAACTCTTAATTGATGCTAACCTCTTAGCTGGTACTAAAACTGTCAAACAGAAAAGAATATAAAAGTATAAACCCCTTTTTTTCAAACTTTTTGTCTTTTACGTCTTGTTTAATTTTCTAACTGGGCACAAAAAGCCAACCAGTGTTCTTCCTCCTTCTCTTCCAGACCTGACAGTGGAGGAGTTTTTTAGGAGTAGTCGTGTCGGTGAGGCGAGCCGGTTCGCCCGTCTGGGTCAGGCGTTGGCTGAAGTGCTGCAGATTTTGCCGGAGAACGTTCAGATCTTCTCTGTAGGCAACGCCGAGCAGCAGATCAGTAAAGCGCTGAACGTTTGGTTTGCGGCACACGGCTCACCGTACTATAAGGCAGAGAAACTACACGGCTACGTGGCGGCAAATAAGGACAAGGTGAGAAGATTTTGCCAAATTTTGTTTCCCCTTTTAACTTTAGAAATACCTGGAATGATGTTGTCAGCTTTGAATAAATACATTTAGACACCTGTAGTATTAAAATTGGCCAAACAATAATTTTTTTATATTTTAGACAAGAAAGCATACACACTGCCTTTCTTATAAAATATAAATCCAAGTGCATTACAAAAAGAAAAAATGCTCTATTTGAGTATTTACGTTGGTTTAAATATGCCAAAAACAGTACTAATACATTAAACATACAGCTCAGTCAGCTCCAGGGACAATTGTTTCACTTAAAATCAACCCTTCTACACCCACTCATGCAGAAAAGGTTAAGAACATTGCTCATATGCATGCACCCATTTTTTGCACATWTACTTATATTGCTTTATTTTGCATAGCAGTATTTAACAATTTTTTAGCTTGCATTTATACCCTATTAAAAGTTTTACCCTCGTTTAGTTATCCCCGCTTACTACTTCTCTTTAACACAAAGAGCACTGACAAGTTTTGGATTTTTAACTCAACTTTATGAGTCTTAAATTATAAAACTTATAGTTATCCATTGTGTTAACTATTTGAGAAATTTGTCAGATTTGCAAGTGTTGACTGAACTTGAGTTTGTAAGTCACCAGTTGAAAAAAGGGAGAGGGAAAAAGGCAGGAAAGTGAAACTTAAAGGCACAGTGTGTAGGATTTTGTCAATTCTTTTAGCCGAAATTGAGATAATCACTAATGGGACACACGCATGAGCTGCTGAGCTGCTGAGTTCTCAACGAGCTTAAACAACTTAACGGATAATGTACTGGTAAGCTTGGTTCTCAGGTAAATATACTATATAATTTAATACGTTTAAGGGATTTATAATTTACAAAGTCATAACTGTTGTCAATTGACTTTTCATTATAACAAACTGGACGGAGAAACTGTGGAGAGTCTGGAGTTTTTCATAGACGAGTGTTTTGAAAAAATAGTCATGGGCAAACCGAAACATACCTCCGGCAGTGCAGCTAGCTTGTCAGTTAGCACGCCAACATCAAAGAGGAATCGCTCGGCAAGCTCCGACGATATTTGAAATATTTCTCCAGAAACGACAGGCTTTAAGGACATRCTGGAGTCTATCGATCAAAAGCTAAGCAGTTTAGATAGCCGGCTAGCTTTAGTGGAGGTGCTGCATAAGGAATTCCAGGCTCTGAAGGTATCACT